CCTTCTTTAACATAGTCTTTGGTGAGATCGACACCAATGAGATGATTTTGAAGCGCGAGAAGACTTGTTCACGTGGCTTAGTCAATCGAGAGAAGTGGAATTTGGCAGCAGGAGATGGGATGTCMGTCAGCTCGGGATCATAAGCAGGCTCTATGTTCATGACAGAGTATTTCCAGATGAGCATTTCCTCTGGAGTGGAGACGGTCTCTGTTTGAGCAGGAATTGAGGGAATCTTGCTCATAGATTCCAAGATAGCATCGACGCGTCCTTCTTCTCTGTACTCTGAAATCTGCTGTTCATGTTCTTCAAGAATTGGCATCTGGGTTGATCCCTCTGCAAGGATGGGCTTGACGGTTCCTTGCAGAGCATCAAACGTACCCGTAGACGTTGTTTGGACTGGTCGGAACACAGAAGAAGTTGCCTCGCCCTCTCTGTAGTGCAAGGGCACCTTTCGCTTTCGAGCCTCAGCCTCTGCCTTAGATATCTTTAAAACCAGCAAAAGTTCAGGATCGTTACGATGCTCTTCTTCATTGATGTGGATAGATGCTTGTGTATCTGAACTTGATGACCCTCTCTTTGAAGTTTCGACAGCAATGGCCTTTCCTTTGTGTTTAGGCTCTGCAGCCGTTTTCGTTGCTTCTGTCGCTGTGGGCTCTCCGATTCTGATACCCTTGGCAAGTGCTCTGGCAGGAGCCTTCTTCTTCTTTGTTTTTGGGGCTGGGGCCTTCTTCTGTGGGGCTTTCTGTGTCTCCTGTCTCTCCCCCTCAGGATGATCATCACGAGTGGCTTGATCATCATGGCTAGGTTTGGCGGTAGTGTGGGGAGCCCTCCTTAGATGACGCAGAATCCTTGTTGCTGCCTTATACATTTTTTCGATGACCTGTTCAGCATTGGCAGAGGCATTCGTGATATCAAGGTCTGTGGCCCATTTGAGTTTAGATACGGTGCTGAAGACCTCTKCACGCAGGTTGGCACCTTCCTTCGCAAGCTTGGTCATTGATTCTTTGAGGTTATCATTTGATGTAAGAATCTCTAGCTTCAGCATAATGATTTGGTCGATCACATTGTTCTCTAGCGCGCTCATCATGGCGTCCAGGTCTCTGCGAGTAGCTAAGTGATTAACATTGGCACTGGAAGACTTGGACTGAATGCCATAGGTGACTGCAGAAGAAAACATTTCTTTGATCTC